CACTTAGAGAGCACAGATTTCTACTATGCAGTGGAACATCTGAAGTTAGATAATGCCTCATTGAAATTTTTCGACTCCTACCTCCATTCCCAGCTGTAGCTTTAATGTTTAGTTAATGGAGGGAACAAATGTTTCCCTAGTAACTTAGAAGAGATTTGTCAGCTATAAAAGCACACAGGAAAACTGATAAAAAGGTAGTCCTAAGAAAATGCACTCCAAATGGATGACAAGTTAACAAAGTCAACACAGGCGTACATGTCCCAGTGACAGCTTGTATTTACTAATGCTGTATGTGTGAGCTGGTTAGTCAGAGCTGCTGAATCTGGTGTAATACATGAGCATATCAGTTTCAATAAACAATGAGATAGATTTATTTCAGCTTTAACAGCACATATTGCAAAATCACAAATGCATTTAACCAAGAGGGTACATGACAATTCCTTAACAAACATATCATCTCTTTGACAGTTTCAAAGGACTAAGTTGACTTTGGCTGTAGTCCGTCTGCCTGCTGTGTTATTGCAGCAATGAAAATCAACACTATGTTACAGCAGGACTGTAGAGAAAAATAATCTTCAAAAATATAACGTAACAAAAGAAAAGCATTGATCAGCAAGTCAAGAACTGGAAAGCAAGTGTCTTTCATTCAGTTCTCCAGACCGATTCTTCTGTTTAGTCAGTTCTCTAGACATTTCACAATCAATAAAGAAGACTTAAGGCAGTCTGAGAAATCATACATAAGTTCAGTGGCAGAGAATCCTCATTTTCAGGTATCACAGTAACTAAACAATATTTCTATCCCTTAAAAACAACTCTGTGAAAAAATAGGCAGATCTTATGCATTCACACTAACTCTTTGGAAAAGTATTATTTCGTTTCAACAGCACTGATCCCAAACATAGGAATTTTACCTCACAGACTTGCAGTCTTCATTTTGTGACTCCTTATTACAATAATAAAAGTTTTATGAACTGAAATGACGCTATTAAGAAAGGAAAATTAGGCAAAGCCTCTCTGGACTTATTCACAAGACCAGAATATTCACTTCTTATTTCTATAAACTCTAGTTATACATGAAAATGAAACATTAAAGTTCTGGTCCAGGGCCAAGTTGCCCTAAAACATAAAAGTTTAAACTACAAAGCAAGCTGCTGCTGGAAGACATTAGCACTATCCATGTACAGGATCCATGTCATTGCTGTCTTGTGAAAGGCACTGAAGAAGAATTATGCCCATAACTAATGGAACTGATCAACTTCTGCGAAAAAAGCACACCAGCCATGCCTTTAGAACAATGTAGTATCTTGAGCAGCCAAACAAGCTGGTCTTTGACTTCCCCTTGCCAACAACATGGGAAAAACTAACTATGAAAGTTTTAAAGAAAATTCCAGCGACTTTGGTCAGTTTTTGAACCTTTACAAGTTCAGACCAGGACACGGACCAAAGACTGCCCTGGGAACTCCAGTTTACATACTCCATGGCCCTGGCACAAGTAAGATGATCTCCATGTTGTTCTGTGAGATCTCTGCAGTGACTTTGATACAGTGAGCTACAGAAGAAAGTTTCCAAAGCACAGAAGTAAATATCTTGGTCCATCTAATTTGTCTCCAATAAGACTCGGAGAGGGCAGTCAATAACTACTTCTCCCCTGCATGCTCTCAGTTTATGCTATCCCCTTTTCAGCATTTACAGAGGACCATCAGCAAAACAGACAGGGAAACAGCATGTCCCCACATTCCAACAGTGTGATCATGATATTCAGCCCTCTGTTGCTTTTTCTGGATACCTTTCAACAAATATATATATATAACATTCATAATGACATAGTAATAAGAACACCTGCTCATGGAAGCCAAACACCTGGATGCAAGCCTTCCACAGCCAGAGGGTTACTTCAGGGTGAAGTGACAGCAATGTACTCGGGGGGGACACCAAAAGGGTCTAAAAGAGCAGGCACCATTAGCAACAGGTCACTCTGAATAGAAGCATAAAGATTTAGAAAGTCAGAAGCACTGGAGAGCAGTAGCACCATGCCATGACTTAGAGATCTCGCCATGTTTTTGAAGGGATGTAGTCCCAACTGCTTTATTATGTAGTGAACTCAAAGCTGCCTATGTGAGTGATGCATGCTCATGGCATAGCTACTGGATTAGCCCTTGATCGTAAGGGCAATATATGCCTATTTTGTGAAGCCAAAGATTAGGCGTTAAAATGCTCCACACAGTCAAAACAATGCCAGGCCAGGAAAGCAGAGGAGCAGCACTTTACGTGTATAACAAATTTTAGTAGCAAGAACATGAGTCATCTCAGGATTCTCAGTCACACTACAAGGAAAGAAGGATTTTGTGGCGATTGCTCACCTAGACCTACAGGTCTAAATTCATCCCAGGTGGCATTTTTGGCACATAAATGTTGGGGTTTTTTAAATCTGGCTCTATATTTCTTCCTCCCTTGTAACAATCCTGACAAACAATCCATTTGCTTGTGACCTCCACACTGGATTACTATAACTCACTATGTGGTTGAAGCTGAACGTGCGGGTAAAGCAAGGGATCCAGATGTGACTGCTCATCTTTTCCAATGCTCACATCATTATAGAATAACAGACCTGCATTTAAGGCTCTCCACAAGCTCCCAAGTAGTTTCTAAAACAGACCCAAGAAAGAAGCAAAGCATTTTAGGTTGTTCATCCATGTGATTTAATAGGTACCCTGTTTCAGTGCATAGAGACTCTTAAGAGCCTCAGAATTGCAAACTAGACAGCCCAGATGCTGAGAAACCTAAGATGCACTACGCACAGAGGCATATCTGAAAAATACTCCAGAGTGTAAGGGTCTCCTAGTGCCAAAGTTAGCAGTAGTTAGGAACATAGACTTCTAGAAATCTCAAAGAACTCAGCAGAGCTAGCTTTTTTATTTTATAGTCTGTGTTCTACATAGGTATTTTATTTAATGCAAAAGTTGTGGTAGTAGTGAAACCGCTCGCTTTTATCTAAGATGTTGTAATTAGTATATTTACCAAAAAAGTGGACAGTATCAGTTCAGTTCCTAGCTTGGCCTATAGTTGAAGCCCTCACCAACCATCTTCAAGGAAAAAAAAAACCTTATCTGTTGCAGGGACATTTTTTTCTTATGATCTTTCTGGTCTCAGGAATTTTGAATTCCATTCTACCCAGTGGCACAATTTCATCCAGATTTACTAGAAAGTGCGTTCTTTTTCAGTTCTGTATATAGCCTGGTGGTTAGACCCATTAATTAGGAAACCAAAATATGTGTGTTTGAACCTCCTCAGGCTGAGTAGCAAGCTAATCTCAGATCAGTTGTTTAGCCCAACATCCAGGCTAGTATTTAAACAGTGGTTTGCATCGCAACTATTTTTTTTCAAAGTGGTGACTTCACTTTCATTCTGTGAGAAGCTCAATCTTGCTCATGTCAGTTAAACATGCTCACAGGATCTTGGATGGAAGAACACTCATCAGACCCTGCATGAGAACTGCACACTTCAGCTCAAAATGAGCTAATTCTGTGCCTACACAGAAGCAAACTAAAGAGGAAACGTTACTGTTAAACAGGGAAGTATTATAGTGTGGTTAGTCACCTTCAGGGGTAAATGGCATCTGAATTAGGGAGTCTTTAGGATGTCAATTCTGGCACCCCATTTAAGCTTAACTACTAATTATTAGACTACGTACAACCTAAGTACTCCTGCAGATTCTTCACTTCTTCATTGGATCTAATCCATTACAGAATTTCTAAATCTGTGAATGGTTCAAGACCTGGTTTTATTAAAGGTTGCGTTTTGATATATGAGCCGCAGTGGCTGTGAAGTAACAAAGCCCCAGATAAAACACAGGAAAATGAGGACAGAGCGTTTTCTGTGTTGATCCTCCTATCCATCCAGAGCAGGCCAAGCAAATCAGGGTGTTCATGTCTCTAAGAGTACTTGAAAATCTTCTCACTAGATACCGCAGGAAGAGATACAATATAGTGTTTTGGATTGATAGGCAAGATATTTCCTGCCTCACCTAAACACATTTCTTTGCTTATTCTTTGACTCTTACCATGAGAAGAGTGAAACAATGTAGTTTATATTGGGTTTGACTACCATTAGAGCATAAAGAGGATAGAGGTTTTATATCAAGTTTCTAGCGTTGAGTTACCTGGCATGCAAAGTTTGCCTTCCTTAAGCTGTGCCAATTCTAAAGTACAGTACTGGCTAAAAGATCTCAGAAAAGATTTACTCTGGAATTTCAAAGGCAAGCTGAGACTCAGCTGTAACTTGGCAGAGTTGAGTTCCAGACAAAAATGATTCAGCCTTTTCCTTCTTTACATGTTATCTTTCACTTTCTTTCATCTTACCTTTTTCCAACCTTTCATATTTTGGAGGAAACGGAGAATATGGAAAAAGATCATAGTCCAGGGCTTTGGACTTTCATCATAACAGGCTATTTTCAGAAAAAATCAAGGTGAAGTACACAAAGAATTACAGAAGGATTCTACACAAAAAACCAGTAACAGTACTGATGTTTCAGACTGAAAAAATGACAGTATTTTCATGGAGCATTTGAACAGTTTATAGATAGGATAAGGCTCTTTGAATTTGTCCATTATTGATCGAAAAATGACAATGCAGTTCACTGGCATCTTGCGGAACTAAGACATTGAAAAGTACAGTATCACTATCAGCAGAGCACAAAGAATAATCGTAAGTGGTTCCCTTTTTGTAAGCTTGTCCAGCAGAATATAATTATCCTCAAAAATTTGTGACTTGTGAGAATGTCGATTCGTAGACTACAGAATAAAAAACCAAACTGTTCTATGAGACTTTGGACAAAAATTTAGCCCTTTCTACACTACTACTACCCTGAATGATGGTTGAAAACCTTTCTAATTTTTAATTGTTTCATGTAAGTAGGTTTTAATACAGTTGACGAAAAAAAGCAACTACAACAAATTTAACATATGTAACAAATAAGGAAATTTGCATTAGATTTGGAGGATCTGGCAGACTGCCATTCACCACAAAGTCTTGGAACAAGATAAAGTCATCCATATACTTAACAGATGTTAAACAAAACAAAAATAAAAAAGTGCTATTGCTAAAAAATTCTTATGGTGAATTCAGATTTGGCTTCATGTTCATAACACAACTGACTTGACAAATGAAAAGTAAAGATTCAGATAAATAAAATACATAATAGAATGGCCACACACAGTGTGGGATCTCATAAACTACAGCAAATATTTGTACTGTTCTAAAAGTCATCTTGATTAAAAATTAACTATGTATTTGCTGCTTCTATTCAGTTTTCCTGAAAAGAATTAAATTTAATTTAAAACATGGTAAAATGTCCTGGTGTTTATACATTTTTCTCGTCTGTAGAAGTACCAAGAACAGGGTTCTGTAGTACAGTCATTTATTTCTTACTTACAATTCTTGACAAGACAGTACAGTACAGTAACTCTTCTCATAATAAAAAGTTATATATGGGTTCTATTTTGGTTCTTTGCTGAAATGATTTTCTTATATTTGTTTTCTTGACATAAATGTCCTTGGTCAAGGCAGATGACAAATGTAATTAAGCTGCAAAAAAAAAATCCATTTAATTGATAGTTCCAGTATTGAAGGAAGCTTGTGCAACCTTTGAGTTTGTTTTCTTGTTCAAAGCTGTACAGATGAAGTTTCCAGCTTCCATCACTGTATAAAGATTTACTCCCTAAAAAAGAGGTGAAAAATGTTAAGAATAATAAATGCATATGTTGAAAATACTCAAATTCTGATTTTTTTTGCTCAGGGTCTAATTTTTGCAAACAAAGGGCCTGATTCATGCCATAGGTCAGTAATGGAGATCAGTAGAGTTACAGTGATTTACACAATAGTCACAGCTTCAAGTTGTTTGGAAGGTTCTACCACTTTGAGCGTGATTTCTTATCCTAACAGCAGTGGACCAAATGAATACTCTACTAATATCTTTCAAACTCAAAAGAATCTGGGATAAAGAACTGGTATAACAGCTTGAAGGAGTTGGAAGAAAAATATAGTGTCTGCATATGTGCTGTACTTATCTATCACCCAGCGTTAAGAAACTTCATGCTTGTAAGCATCCTATTTGCAGCTCAGGAAAAAGGGGGAAACACACTTGTATTAGGAATTGAGTTCAGTGAGAAATGGGATCCTGCATGCTCTTAAATAAATATAATCTCCTTCTTGAAGAAGTTCCTCTCAATACAAAATTAAAATTTACATTGCTAGCACAACTGAGCAAAAAATTGCAGCTGCTTGATCTGCCCGTGCTAAAAAAAAATGTTCCTTGAGAAATCAACTGGTTTTTAACTAACATAAGATACATTTCAGTGCTGCTTGATTGCTGAAAAGGAATCAGATCACCTACCAAAGAGGGAAAAATACTGCATCATTAGTCTCCTGCATTACTTATGTACACTAAAAGTTTTAGAGTTAGATCATGTAAGTGATGTAAGTACTTGCTCCAAAGATTGGAATTTAGAAGCCAGTGAAGTTCCTGTAGAAGGGATGCGAAAGGGGACTTTGAACTACCAATACACTGAGCAGTCACATAAAACTGGGAGAAATGTCTCACTCAACATTAAAGAGTACAAGATGTATTGCACCAAAAATACACTTTCATAACACTTATGGATTTATGCACTAAAGTTCAGACCAAGACCTGATTTAGATGCTTGATCCTTTAATTGGTTCTAGCACTTATTTCCATGTTCTACACTAAACTTTGCCTTTTTAATTCTGGGAATTGGCTAAAAATGTTAATGAGAATAGAAATTACTTCACAGAAATTTAAACAAAACCATTTTTAATTTGAAAAAAAAATGCTTCAAAGTTTCCAATCAGCTCTAGTATATAGCACCATCTAAAATATATTGTTCAAAGACACCCTTTTATAACTGTCTCATTTTAATACAGTTATAACAAGGGTGATTGCAGCTCATTATATTTATCCTTTCTTTGTCATTACTTAAACCTAGTTTGTAGAGTGTTATTGCACATAATGAAACCTAAAAAATTCTTAGAGCATCTGTGCTTTTTTACTAGGAAGAAATGAGAAACATACTTGGTAGTTAGATTATGGAAGACAGCAAAATAAAAGCCCCAAACTATACAAAATTCACATTTTCAGCACTCTAACACTGTATAACGTGATATGCGTTGATAAGAAACATACGTTCACCGTTCACATTCATTAAATGGAATATAAGCATCTCTCCTTTTACATTGTCTTTCTTATGTAAGTGTTGTGAACCAAAGAGGATTACCACGAGGGCACAAACCCCAGCATTCACAAGCATGACTCACAGATGGGGATGGGAAAAGAGTAGTGACAGGTGTTTGTAAGGTTGTTGAGTCAAAATAATATGTCTTCTGATACTCAGAATGTACTGAAGTGTACTTGGTAACCACTCCATATATCCAGAATTATTCCTTGACACCAAGGAATGAAACCATGAAACACAGAGACAAGTACCTCAAATAGTATCTATGAACTTGGATAAGTGCCTTAAGTCAGAAAAGCTTCTGCCAGAAGGCAAAGTCTAACTCCCATTGACTTCAATAAATCAGTTCTCATTCAGCATTCGTAAATATCAAGTCTATTACCTCTCTGTACTTCAGTTTTGGTGTTAGTAATGTAAGGCTAATAGTACTTAGTTGCTTCTCAGAAAGGCTTATTGTTTGCCAAGCACTTTGAAGGCATCATAAGCACAAGTACTATTACTGTGATTGCATAGGAATCATATAGAAACTGTTTTTATAGAAAGTACATATTTCCCTATAAATTTTCATAACCATTAATGATCTATGACATAATTATCTATCCATTACCATGGTACAACCAATAGATCTCTTTGTAGATGGTGTCCGCTAAAAAATGATTTCACATTTAGCCTGCTAGAGATTAATTTCACGCGTCACTTCTTGGTTATCTGTTCTGAAAAGCAGTATAGAACAGGCATCAATTATTATTTTGATGTATCTAGTCAATCTGAACTCAATAATGTACATTTAAATACCATCCATCCTTTGGCTGACACTTGAAGTGACTTCAGTCAACAAAATGAAAGCTTTAGTGCATAGCTAAGAGGAACATGAGAAAGCGCTCCTCGCAAATGGACAGCATTAGTAATTATGATTTCATTTGGTGCCATTGTACAAAAAGGGACATATTAATAGATTTTTGTGATAATGATTTTACAGAATTGGCCATGGTACCAAAACCAACCAGCACTGCAAAGACCAAAGCTCATATATTAAGGTAATAATTTTGAGGCTCTGTGTCTCTCATCCAGTAAACCACTCTTTTCTTAATGGACCAGAAAAGGGTCAAGGAGCAAAACCTTGTGTTTTGCTATTGCATAATCTAAACTTTTTTTAAAAAGGAAGAACTAAATATTTGATGGTGAGAGTGTTATCTCCATGGGATTTGGTAACAACCTTTAGGACAAGCTAGATTCCTGCTTGGACGACAGATCATTAACAGATTAATAAATCTTATCAAGATCCCCGGAACAAGGTATATTTCATTTAATCAGGCTATTTTTATTTAATTGATTCCTTTTGCTACAAGTCAGTTGGAAAAGTCAATGGGTATTTTGCCCAAGGAAAAACTATACTGAAAGCCTAAGTCCAAGGTACACAGCAATGTAAAGTGAAATGCATAATTTCTCCTCCTTATTTCAAAGCACTGTGTTGTTTCAAAAGAATAAAACACCTTCTTCATGAAAAAAGCTACCCCAAAGCACATATGAACTGTTCAAAACAGAGTCCACTTGTACAATGGACACTTGTGATTAAACCTTTTCTAAACAGGTATCTGACATCTACCCAGCACTCCCTAAGCAGTGCATGAAAGCAGATAAACATTACAGTGAACACTGTCAGGTACTGAATATGATGTAACAGTGCTCAGGGGATGTACAATTTAGAAACAAGTTCCATGATCCTTTTACGTCAAGGAACTCCTTTGGCATGTGTGCCATACTTAACTGCAACTGACAGACAAGTAATAAGCTCCCCAACAATTCAGATCATTGTATTTCAGACATCAGGCTTTTCAATGTCTTTCTGTAGTAATTTAAATACAAACTACACACGCTGCAGTTTTGGCAGCTCTTCTTACGTTCTTTGAGCTTGACTCTCAAAGTCTATGTATAAGTTAAAGGTGAAGTCATTGTATTGCTTGAGTTAGAACAAACTCAGTATGCCGCATTTCCAGAACAGTGATGATCAACAGGAAGACCAAAGAGCACATTCTTTGAAGAAGGCAGCATTACTTGATTCCCAGGAATACAGAATAATTAACATGTCAACCAAGTCAGGGATACTAAATGTGTGCTCTTCAACTGTGGGTGCTCACTGGTAAGGTTTACTGAAGTACAGCTCAGCGCAGATAAGCTGCCCTCTGCTCGAAGAACAGGGCTGGAAATAAAGATGACTCTGAAGCCTGCTAGCCAGTAACAGATTTTGTACAATTTTGAAATATATTAAGTGGATACCTGAGAAACAGCAATGTCCTGTGCTTGGGCTCCAAACACCACAGTTTTTTTCTACTTGGAAACCAGAAAAATTGACAACAAATTAATAAGCACTATGAACCAAATCCTAAAGTCTGTGGAAAAAGCTGAGATCCGCTCAGACTTTCCACTGTAGAGCTGATCACCCGTCTGGGGCAATGTCTACAGTAGTGATTTTTTTGTGGTTACTGAAGCAGAGCAATGACTCAAAGCAGTTGCTACTGAGCTCCTCAGAGCTCCAGGTAGGAAGGGGAACGTTATTCAAATTCCTGTCAAATACACAAACCAGTTCTACTCTAAATTGCTAGTGAAGACAATATCATTCATGTTATGTGTCAAGCCATGTTAAAGGACTGGGTTTGCAAAAACTACTCTTTGCTCCCAATATTTTACTGTACAGCACAAGTAACTGTCAGGTATGTATCATATGTTTCCTAGAAAAATATTTTTGTTCTCCTTACAGTCTTAAGTAGAAAGTAAAAATATCTTACTGTATTGATCCCCAGACCATTAAGCATGTATATCACATCCTCTGTGGCTACATTTCCAGTAGCACCTTTTGCATAGGGACAACCACCCAGTCCTGCAACCGATGAATCCACTACAGCAACTCCCATCTGGAAGATAACAACACAAAAATGCAACATCAGCACAGAGTATTATTTATAATTATTCATAAAGAGCAGACTATACATATTAGTTACCATGGATAAAATACACATTTCTCCACAAATGGATATGTTTCTTGGAGGAAATTCCTTATAACGGCATTAGTCCTGACATCTTTATAAGGTAAGACTCTTCAAACACAGGATGTGAAACAGAGAACTAACGGTCCATTATGTGTGATTTTGGCAGATAAGATGATTGCTGTTTTAGAGCCAAACAGAGTTTTATGTCTTTCCTCTCTTCTTCTTTCTACATGTTGTTTTTAAGTAGCCTGCATCTATTCCTGCAAAGGCTTAGATGCAACCAAATACAATTAATGCGTTTATTCAAATGTGTAATTTTAAGCTTATGTATAAGTCTTTGCAATTTCAAAGTCTTAATATTAGCATCTAATTTATGTGTCATCCAAAAGATTTTGGGACATCTACACTCTAAAATGTGTTTTATATTAATGCTATTCTTCCACAAAGAACTTCCCTCCTAGCACTTTCCCTCTTCTCATTTTCTTTTCTTTCCTCTTTATTAGAGATCATGAAACCACCATGTAAATAATCTTTTTGTTCTTGTTTTAGAGGAAAACTACAAGGTATTTTCACCCAAATTGTAAGGAAGAATTAAATTTTGGCAGATCTGTTAAAGAGTTCATGAGTTTAAATCAATTGGAAATAAAATTTTAAAGAAGTTTATCCTGGTGAGTCTGACCCATTGTTTATCATATTCAGCAGTCTAGAACACAACCCCCAAAATAGCAAATTTCACACCCTAACACAGTCCTGGAGCAGAATTCAAAAGCCTAGTTTTTAAGACGCTTGGAATAACTGGATAGCTTGGATATCATTGAAGTTATCCATAGATATAGGTTCTGATCTTTGAATGTTTTTAAGGGAGTATTTGATGCACAGTGTTAAGCTCATTTAAATTCTCATTTATATTAAGACTTGAAAAAACAGCCAGCTGTCATAAATTCATAATTCTCTGATTTTTATTTTCTTCCTACTGCATCCTGGCTCTTTCTCTCTCCTGATATATTCATGCTAAAGAATAGTAAACCAGTTACCAACTCTGCCCAACAGATAATATTACATTTCCTATGGGATAAAGCCTTCCCTGGGAGATTGTTCAGGGAGGGAAAGGAACCAAGCCTGTGATTTCCACTGACTTGTTTAGTGAACTCTTGCACCCTCTTCTTTCTGTAATTAGATTTTAAAATAAAGCTGAAATTGGGAAGGGTTTTTTTCTGTTTTAACATGTTTGGTATGTGATCCGGGACACTGGGTCTCCCTTGTTAGAGAAAGCTCTTCATACTTCCCCTTGAAGAAGATTAGATGCCTTTGGAGGCATTCAGGCTCTAGAGATAATCAGAGGCCGGCAACGATATTAGGCAGAGAGGTCATCAGATCTTCAAAGACACCAGCTTCTCTCTACCTTAAGCACACTAGAGGGTTCTCCTCCCCCTAGAGCTAATTTAGGCAGACATACATCAGAAGTTTAGAAGTCGTCAGGCAGACTGAATCAGGGTGCAATCACAGCTCAAATTCAGGACAGGAGTTCCTGTGCAGAGATAAGTTTTCAATACTCAAACTATGACTTTGCGTGCTGAGAGATTCAGAGGTTAATCCATGCCTGTTACTCACATTTGCAAGTAACATCAGCTTAGAGGCCTGACTGCACAGCAAGCTGATTTCTGTTGCTCTCCTTCTGAGGGACCTACCTGTCTCTGCAGACTAAGCTGGGAGCCTAAGCTTCTCCTCCACAGCCATGCACATAACTAGCTGGCAAGGTAGGCAAAAGATGATGTCCTACATGTTGCAGTTGCTAAGTCCCCTTTCCAAATATACCCGTCAGTGGGGTTTTTTAGTTCTGAAATAAACTTCCCCAATGTTTTGTTGTATTTTCTTCTAGTTTTAACAGTGCTTTCCATTGTTTTATTGTTGGCCTTGCAGGCTCTTTGAAGTTCCAACATTTCTGGAGGGCAATAATAAAGAGTAATCCAATGAAGCTTTGTCCCTGGTCTTATTCTCAGGCAGGGAACATTACGTTGAGCTAGGTAGCTGCTCAAAGCCTGTAATAAAGACCTCAAAGGAGCCGAGGTGCATAACGGTGACAGGCAAGATGGTACTGTTTAATATTGCTCACACAATGAGACTCTCTAAGAAGGGATATTGTACTTTAAAGTACACTAATCTGTGAATTATGGAGTGAATCACAAAAGTACATGTTTCACATTTCAGTCACTTGTCACACACTTTGTTTGTGTAACCCACCGGTCAGAAAATGTGTTATACAACACATCTGTGTCCAATACACAGAGGATATGCGTTTATGATAGCATTCAACTGGAAATTCTGTCTCTTTTCACACTAGCTGCTAAGATTCATACATTTACTCTGGAAGTCATTGCTTCAAGCTCCACAGTGGCAGCTGTCGGGCTGCAGAAACACACCTAAGGCCTCTTAATGGAAAGACTTAGGGAACGGTGAAGGTCTGGGGAAGAGAAAAGGGAGACTAGCGTGTAGAAGTGCTGGTATGATACAAGCATGCATCCCACTACTGTGCCTGCTCTTTCACACTGATTTTAAGATTTCCTTCAGAAATTACTGTTTCAGGGATGAAAAGGTAGAAGAAAGTGTCCTTCATGGAGTTTCCCCCGGCTGTCAGGTTATGTCATAACTGCTAGACCATTCTTCTGTATGTACTTATTTTCAGTAACTTTTACATGGGGATAAAAGCTATAGGCAAATAATGTGTTGAGGTACATCACAGCTGTTAAACTGGCAAAGGAAGATCAACAGGCTCAGAAAAAACTTTAGTAGCATACAAGCAGTCCCTTTCTAACCCCAGTAAATTATCTCATGTAACACTTGTCCTTGTGCAAAAATGGGAAAAATATCAGCTAAATTGTACTGGTGACAATTAAAGTGGCATCTGAAAACAGCCAGAAAAGTTTGCCAGTTCAAAGCTGGGGAGAACCTCCTCCTGTGGGGTGTCACCTTTATTACTATCAGTAGCCTGGTCCAGTCCTTCACAGGGCTCTCACTGTGAGAAAAAACAAGAAACAATATACTGCCAGCATTAAAAGAGTGTGTCTTCTAAAGGCCTTGGATATATATATGTATTAATTTCTTGAGATGCTTGTAAAAACACTTGTGATGTCACCGCAGTTCTGCATTTGCAGTGCAAGTCTCGCAACACTGGAGTACATGTTGCTTATTAACGTTTGTTGAAAGTGTTTGTGAATACATGGAGGGGTATGGGATACCACAGCAACATAAAGGTAACATGAAATACACATCTTTGTCTAAGCACATCCTAGTATTCTCAGGCAGCCTCATCTGAGTTAATTCAAACTACCTCCACTGGAAGGTGGAGTGAGCTCAGTCATTTTACTCCATCGTACTTGCAAGAGCATAAAAAATTGTATCGTCTGGTGGGTGAGCAGTGAGAGCAGTAACTTCCAGATGATGGACAGCAATAATTGCTCTGTCTTTTAAACCATCAACTATTCTGGCTAAAAAGAAAAAGGAGAAAATCTAGTCACAGCTTTACATTGGTAACATCCTCGGTATAGCGGCTTTCATCCTAGTACAGGACACTTAAACCATTACTTCCCAGAAACTGTATAAACATATTTATGTCTTTATAATGGTATCTGCATCAGGATGGATTTGCCATTTTACCATTCAGCCAGTTGTAGACAAGGTCTTGACATGATGTATATAATACAGCAGCTCTGACTGACCTCCAAATCTTGACATGTCTTCAAATCAGTGCTCTTAATATGCAATGAGTGGGTGTCTCTGCTTTTAAGATACTGTCCTTTAAAGTTCTCTTCACAACACTTCTGATAAGATGTCTACTGCAACATACTGCTATTTCAGCAGCAGGCTCAGCTGCATCTGCCTGCTCTTGCATGTGGTACAGGCAAATATGATGTGTCTTCTGATTTGTGTGCAGAATCACTGCAGTTCATCTCCAGTGTGGCCCCATTAAAAAAGTCTTTAATCCATACTCCAAGCTCCTATTCTAGCAGTGCTAAAAAAAGCTGTTGGAAAACATCCTTCAGCAGCACTACTAACTAATTTGGAGGTTAATATTACAGCCCAGCCTGTCCAAGTAGAGTCTGAAATAGCACCTAATAAATAACTTCTCTGCAAGTTTGAGCGGCTATGAAGCTGTTTTGCTTTTACAGCCATTAAAAGCATAAGGGGCTCTAAAAGAAAAGATAAAAATTGACATAATGTGTAAAACAAGGCCTCTTCCTTCATCATATGTCCAATATTTGTCAGGTTTTTTAAGGAGATAATGAGTTTCAAGCCTTTGAACAATCTGAGCCTGCAAAACATTCACTGTCAATATGAGATCTTTAAAAAGCCCACAGTCTTGTTGTCACTTCCTGACAGGCACTAAATTGTACTGAGATTCATGAGAAGTTGCACTGCAGCTACTTCATAGGATATGTTAAGGTCAACGGCTTGATGTCCAAGTGCAGACCTGTTATTGGAATGGTGTTCCTCAGGGGTCGTTATTGGGACTGGCACTGTTTAACATCTTTGTTGGCAACATGGACAGTGGGATTGAGTGCACCCTCAGCAAGTTTTCAGACAACACCAAGCTGTGTGGTGCCGTTGACACACTGGAGGGAAGGGATGCCATCCAGAGGGACCTTAACAGGCTCGAGAGGTGGGCCCATGCAAACCTCATGAAGTTCCACAAGGCCAACGGCAAGGTCCTGCAAATGGGTTGGGGAAACCATAGAATCATAGACCCATAGAATGCCTTGGGTTGGAAGGGACCTTTAGAAATCATCTAGCCCAACCCCCCTGCAGTGAGCAGGGACAGCTTTAACTGGATCAGGTTGCTCAGAGCCCCATCCAACCTGACCTTGAATGTTTCTAGGGAACATTACGTTGAGCTAGGTAGCTGCTCAAAGCCTGTAATAAAGACCTCA